AAAAAGGCACAAGGTGCACTACAGTCGCGGCCGGATCCAGGGGAAATAACATCCATGTTATTGGATGTATTAGTAATAATGGATTAATTCATCATAAAATAAAAAGAGGTTCTTTCAAAAAAGAGGATGCGAAAGAATGGACCAGGGATTACCTTAGAAAGGCAAATGAAATTTATGAAAGAGGATTTGTCTTAGTTATTGATAATGCTCTTTGCCATACTTCAATTGAAGAAGTTGTGGAGGAGGATGAATTTAGGCAACACCAAATGTTCAGACTTGCTCCCTATAGTCCGATGTTAAATCCCATTGAAAAGGTTTGGTCAGTCATTAAAGCTGACGTAAAAAGAAATATGGCAGTCTCAATTTTGGGGATGTTAAGAGGTGATGACCAGGGATCTTTAACTACTAAAGAATTCCACTTCAGCAATTTAGAAGCGGTGATCTCGAGGCAATTAATAATATTTCCCCTGAGACTTGCACTAACTTCGTATCTGGAATACAGAGATTACTTCCCTCTGTAATTAACTTAGATGGTGTAATCTTTTAAATAAATTTCTTAGGAATGTTTATATTTTTTTATATTCCTTTTAAGTAAAAATAAAAGAATAAATATGAAATTTATTAGTATTATATTAATTCTCAATTTGAAGTTGATTATTTCTCATTTTGAAGTTGTTTTCCAATTTGAAGTTGGTTAATCTATTTTGAAGTTTATTGATCCATTTTGGAGTTGATTAATTTTTTTACCTGAAAATAAGTCCATTTTGAAGTTGATTATTATCATTTTGAAGTTGAAAAGGTATAGATCTGTCTAATTACTCAATGTGCAAAACTTTTTATGAAAATAAATTTAAATTTTCATCAGCATAAAAGTGCTAGGCTGATCTAGTGTTGCTACTGTGTGTCGGGAGGAGTGAGATTGTAAACATTGTTGATTAGTTGACAGGTTCTGTCAGGGTTTGTTGCTTGTGATATTATCAGGATAAGGTGGTGAATATTTCCACCAGATAATGTTATGAGGTTGAGGAGTGGGAAAGACATCTCACGTGTAGCAAATATTGACAGATCATGTGGTTGAGTATTGAAAGCCAGGAAATTATGGTTGGAATATGTTGTGATGAAAAGGAAGAAAGGGAAAGAAAGAAAAAAGGGAATATATTATAATAAAATAGAATAAAATAAAAATAAAATATCATAAGATGGAGCAAAATTATTGATAAAAAATTGGAAATTTATCGTTAAAAATTAATTTTTAATAATATAATGGAAAAACTAAGAGGAAAAAGTGCATACATACAAAGATGTACATGCATACATATGTGCACATAACTGTATATACATACATACAAATCCACACACATACATATGTACCACCATACACATAAATACATGTACAAAATTAATGTATCTTCACTACCCTTCCCTTTTTATTACATTAGCTTGTATGTAAAGGAACCTTAGTGATAGATTCTATAATGGTATAAAGGGAATGATTCCAACCAAGAAGGTTACTGGAAAGTAACCCCCAGTGTACTGGGTAATCCTTATATTGTGGACTAGTACATCCTGAGAGAAAGCATAGACAGTAGAAAATCAAATATATAGGTTGGTTGGGTGATGGCTATTAAAATTAAGGGGAAAAAAGGGGTTATATGGGACTTCCTCTTCCAAGGATTGGTGTTGTTGATTATAGGTGTGGGTTACTGTTCATGTCCTCTATGGAGAGGTTGGTGGTTGTGGCCATTATTATTTTTGAGTGTTTGTGTAATTTAGGGATGGTGTAGAAAGTGTCGGGTTTAGGATTTTCTGGAACGAAAGCCTTAACTGTTGCCTCTATGCTGTGGTGTAGATGGCTGATTAGAGAGTGGAGTTCTGACATATAATGTTTGGTTGGATCTAGGGAGAGTTTTTTTTTATAAAAACTTGTATCACTGAGCAGGTATTTTGCTTCAGCAATGTATTTATTTTTGTCTATAACCATCCTTGTCGGCTTTTTTGATAATTATATCTTTGTTCACTTGGAGGGATTTTATAGCTGTCCATTCCTGTTTAGTGATGTTGTTGCAGTCGTTTTGATGGATGTTGCTTTGTATGAACTTGTCTAGATGGTTCTTGGCACTTTTTATATACAAATGTATGTGGTGGTTGTGTCTGTTTGGTAAACTCCAGTATATAGTTTGTAGTTGGATATGTTGATGTAGTTGGTTTGTGGCATCTTATGGGTGTTGGATTGGATATATCAATGGAGAAGTCTAAGAGGTTTGTCAGTCTGGATTAAGTTCAGTATGTTGTTGAGAGGTTTCGGGAACAGGTTGCATATTTTGTTGTTTTTGCTCATCAGGCATATTTTGAGATATTTGTTGTATATGAATTGTAAGGTGTAAAACACCTCAGAAGTCGTTGAATTCTAGTGAATTGTGTAGAAGAGAACCCATGTTTTTACAAAGACTACAAAGAATATGTTGTCTAGAATAGGCTTCTTTAAGAGCCAGGTTGCATAATTGGGAAGAGGTAGATTTGTAGATCTGTTGAAACTTGGATCTAAGTGATGTGTTTGTGGAGTATTGGAAATTGTTCTTTAATATAATAAAGTAAAACAATACTCACGTGTTACTGCTTTCTGTGCCTGTGAAACAATAGCATCAACATCTAAGTGTCAACATGAAACTGTCATGGAAAGCAGTAACATATGAGTATTGTTTTACTTATATTTTATATTGGCTTTGTTGGGTATATTTTTTATATTTTACATTGAGCACTGTCTTTATAGCATCGTTGTTTACCTTTATTATTCTCTCTCTCTCTCTCTCTCTCTCTCTCTATATATATATATATATATATATATATATATATATATGTGTGTGTGTGCAACATTAACTTTATGGAATAACATTTAACTTTTTGTTCTAATATTTTCTGTCATCTTTTGACCAACTCTATAATCCCATCACCTTAGAAGTTATCTTTCTCAGCAAACAGTTCTTGGTGCTTTTTGCAGTCTTTCAGGTAATTGAGTTTCTTTTCATTAAGACAATTCTGTAAAAAAGACTATAATTTCTGGTGAATATGGTGGATGATTGATAATTTTCCAGCTAAGCTCTAAGGATTTTTGTCTGGTCCCCAAAGAATCATACAGTACAGTATTACCTATAGAATGTTATTCCCTTTTTTTTTTCTCTTAATCCCTGACATTTTCATTGATTACTGCTTTCAATTAATATAATTGGGAACAGTACCTATTCAAATCAGTTATTTCCTACTCCAGAATAGGTTTATAAATAATTAAGAACTTCCTTTGGATTCCATTGTAAACACGGCATCACTTCCTATGAATAAAGACCAAACTTTGGTACAATTAGTGCTAGTTCATTCCACTTACTGTATTTGCCAGCATTAAGGATGCTCCCCAAGTTTAAAGTGCAAGTTTTTTAGCGAAAAGAATAAACATGAAAATAAAGTCTCAGCACTTTCTCCTACCTTATCAAGATGTTTTGTTGGGTGGTGTGGAGCAACATGTTAATCATCTTGACCACTTGGGAACTGGATTTTATCATTTTATCCTTACAATACAGAGATATGTAAGTTTACTCTCTCTTATATGTATAAAATACTGAGTGGCATATGTACCTACGGTAGAGCTGTATCAAACACAATGATACTCCAATTTCACAATCCTTTGTTCTCCCCAGCAATGTTTTTCTGAAATATTGGCTAAAGTTTCATTATATGTCTGAAGGGAAAAAAAATTTATCTGGGTCTATCTTTTTTTAAAATTTTACCCATAGGGTGTAATATACAGAAATTAAAAATAAAATAAAACTTTACTTAAATGTAAAACATAAAAACGGTAAACATGGTGGAAACAAAATAAAAAAATAAAGAAACCCTATTAATGTTTATCATATAGTGACAAGTGGACGTGACATAGCTCAGCAGTTGTCAATTAGGATATTCATTGAGATGGAGTGGTGCTACCTATATTTAACTTCCTTGATACTACTAATCTGTTGGCTACTCGTCCCTAGTCTGCCACATAAATATTCTGTACATATACATATTTTTTAGTTTTTATGATACTTTGTTTATTTACAACCTGAAATGGTGTATAATCTATAAATTTAATAAAGAGATCACATACAGGAATTCAGTTTACTGTCAGGCATAGATAACCTTCATCCTCAAGGATGCACAGCAAATTTCTAAGACTTATTTCAGGAAAAAATATGATACCTGTGTATTCCATATTTTTGTAAAATATCTAGATGGGAGGCATCACAAGTTGTTTCAAAATAAGAATGTTTACGGTTTGGTAGTTTTTTGTTTGTTCTTTTTTCTTGACTTACATGGAATTCATATATAAAAGCAGCTAATAAAACAAAGCTGGTGATGCAAATGAGTTTCAGTGCTTAATTTGGATATTTGAGTGTGTTCACTATCTTCCATATCATATATTATTGGTTATTCTCAAGTAATGCCTTGATTAAATCTTAAAATGTATGGAGCATCATTCTTTAAAAAATCATCTCCAATATAAAAGTTCAAACAAGTATGCTCAAGCTCAAAATAAATAACCTTGTTCGAAAATATGTTGAATTGAATGAATATTCTTTTCAAACCGAATTTCTCATTTTTCTATTTCAATTCACAATAAATTTTCTTTATACTTTGCAAGTCAAGACAGTTTTCTGGGCTTTTTATTTGCACTAATTGCAATACTTAGTCCATTTATATACTTGCACAATATGAAATTGCTTTTTACAGTTTATCAACCTTCTGTAGGTTATTTAAAGCCAAAACATATTCTTGAATTATTAGAATAATTCTTTTTTTTATTTTTTTGCAAGTGAATTTTGTATTAATAATTTCTTAGAGATAATTATGATTTTCAGATACTACTTAATCCATAGATAGTAGAGAGAGGTGGATTCATACCTTTCCCAAGGAAATTTACACAGCAATCTCATTCCAAGTCATTATCCATTACACCACACACATCCAAGCTTACAGCACCTGCTATTCCTAAGTGGTCACTCATCTAGGTACTGACCAAGCTTGATGTTGCTTAAGTTTGGTGATCAGATGAGAACCAGTGTTTCAACATTATGTGGCTGTAAGCCTGTAATGCCTCATTAACATAAAAAAATATACATCTTTGTTATAAACAGGCTCTATGTTTTCATTTTTGTACCTTAAATATTTTTGCTTTCGTGAATGAACCATGGCTCTTTCTTCTCTCAATGTAACTATTTCTTCTAATGCCATGTCACTTCAGGACATAGGTAGTGATGGCTCTCCACAAATTCCTTCTTTTTTTTTTATCTGTCAATTGCTATGACTTCTCAAGAATGATAGTGGAGTAGTTTCTCTTTGCCTTCTCCATGGTTTTGATTTCAGAGTCGTCCCTCTCTTAAACTGGTTGCCACATAAGACTAAAGAGGTTAGTCTACCCTTGTAGTTAACAAGAAGCTTAGTGGAAAAAAATACAGGTACATGCTTTTCCCAAGGGTATTTGTTTGAAAGTGAATGCAACAGACTAGCTCAGAATTTGAACTTACCGATTAGGCTTTTTTAAATCAATATCCATTACACTACTCCACATGCTATCATTGTAACTATATTTGAAAAAAAAAAAAGGAAAATTATTGATAATTTACAGTGTTTCCTTCCTCTGTCATACAACAAAGAAGAATGTGCAGGTTGTGTAATGATTAGCAGATCAGGACAAAGAATTGGTGAACCAAGTTTGAATTCTGGTTGAGTTTGTTACATTCATTTTTGCACAAATATATTTAGGAAAGTTATGAATTAATCTCTCCAGATATGGGTTAAATAACAAGGCAAACAAAGTTTGCTCGCATTTGGTGGCAACTAGTTTAGGTGAAGTAAAAATTCAAAACATTATGTAGCCCTAGTAAAGTATATACTATGCAGTCATCTATGATCCTGGCTACAGTCAATGTGATAGAATAGATCATATAACCTTATCACTATCATTTTTTTCTTCTCAGTGTTTTTGCGCCTATTGTTTTATGGAGAATTTAATCTCAACTTTTGAAATGTCTCATTTTAGATTTGGTTATTTAAGATCATCATCTCAGTTTGCTTCACTAACATTACTCTTTATTTCTATTTTTTTTTATAGATTCTATATGAAAAACAAAGATTGTAAAATAAATATGGTTGATGCTGAGTTTAATTATACATTTGAATACCAGGGAAGTGTGCAAAAATTGGTGCATACCCAGCTCACTGATAAATGCTATTTGACTCTCACACAGGGTTTGTATTTGGATACAAATATCTTCATAAAATATCAAAGAAAAATAGTCTTTGAATAATCATGTGTATATGTATGTATATATGTATGTGTTGTTCAGTCATTATTATGTTGTAAGTGTAAATAAAAATATGAGTAAATCATAATAGGCTCAGTTTCTAGTTAACTATTTCATTATAATGTCTTGCTCTCTAATTTTGGTTTTGAGATAGACATGTACATCTGAAGTCCAAATATGAAAACCTCTTTGCTGTCTGAATTTCTGAGATGAGGCATTATCTTTATTTACATGGGGACTATTGTCCTCATCTTTGTTGGTGTTATCACATGATGAGAACAATGGTCTGCATGTAAATAAGTGAAAATAAAAAGGAATATCCTTATATTAAATGATTAATATTGATACATCAGAATAAATCCTTTTAATTACAATTGTGCAAAAACTTTTGTAGCTATCATTTTTTTAAATCATTTCATCTTATGCAAGGCAATAAATCCACTAGGACACAAGAGGTTACTGAGTGAGACAGAGAGAGAACAATAACAGAATATGAATTAAGAAGACAGCAGATAACAATTGACATTGCATTTAAATTTTTGAAGATCAAAGTTGACTGGAAAGCAAGAAGCTGGAAGAAAATTCCACAAGTGAGAAGTGTGAGAAAAGAAACTGTTAGCAGAGATCTTATGGTTACACCTAGCAATGACACCTGTAAAATTATCTTTGTAATTGGGTGTGAAGTATTTATTATTTTGTATTCTCAGTAACCTGTAATTTTCATATGGTAAAATGTGCGCATCTCTTTCCCAGACAGTTTATACCATATACTGCATGAATGTTCATAGTTCTATCACCCTTTCAAAAGCAAAAATAACCAAAAATTTAACATCATACTCATTTGTTATGATTAGCTTTACTTATTGATATGATTTTCATTCCGAAATGTAATATAAAATAACTTTTTATTTCTTATGCTTGTAATATTTTTCCTTTATTAAACAAGAGAAACTTTTAAGATGAAATTTCTAAGGAAATGACACTTATATATTTAATAGAGATAAAAGGTATAAAAATTTCTTTGATTCCTTCAGGAATGCACATGGGTCTTGGTGGAAACCCTTATGGACCTGCAGGCACTGGAAAGACAGAATCAGTAAAAGCCCTTGGAGGACTTTTTGGGCGTCAAGTGCTTGTATTCAACTGTGATGAAGTGAGTTTTTTTTTTTTTTAACTTATTTCTTTATTTATATTTTAAGGAAAGTGAGTTGTAACTTTCAATTTTTAGTATTGTCAAATATGTTGGATACATTTTTAATTTTATTAGTGAGATTACCGATTAAATGAAAATATTTTGGTGGAAATGAAAAAATATAATGTTTAACAAAAGCATGTTATTCTTTATGGAAACAAAATATAGAGTATAAGTAAACAGGCAATGTGGTCAGGATTTATTACAAGTGACATAGAAACTTTCAGCAAGATTGGATAATCTTATTTTAGTGTTGGTCTTTTTATTTAGAAAAGAATTCTTGACTCAGTTTTACACACTGATTTATTTGATCTGTTGCCATGTTATTGATTTTTACTGTACCATTCATCTTTCTTTTTTTCTCTTATTTTATCCTGCACAGAACCTTGATGTCAAATCTATTGGCCGTATATTCATTGGACTTGTCAAGTGTGGTGCATGGGGCTGCTTTGATGAATTCAACCGGCTTGAACCTCCTGTGCTCTCAGCCGTCTCAATGCAGATTCAGGTCATACAAGATGCAATAAAGAACAAAGCTAGGACCATGGAACTCCTTAGCAAATCTGTAAGAAACTGCCTTTTCATATTGTTTTTAACTCACTGAAAATTATTCTTTCAAAATAAAGCCCACATCATGATCATGCCTAATTCAAATATTCTTTTTTTTTTAATACCATGACTTCAGGACATAGACCAACATGGATCTCCACAACTTGAATTTTTTTTATTATCTGTGCATTGCCATGATTTCCTGAGAAAGATGGCACTTCCCTGTTGTTTTCACCACAATTTTGAATTCAGAGTAGTCCTCTTAGACAGACTGCTGCCCAAGGCTAGAGATCCCAGTTTACCCTGCTAGCTCATAACTTTGTTTGAAGAAACTGATTTTTGCTTTCACTAAGAGCATTAGTGCAAAGTGAATGCAGCACATTCAGTAGGAATTTGAACTTAGCTTACTGATTCTACTTTCTGCATTGATAATTTATTCCCCTGTATTTCAATTGTAAAAAAGATATTCTACTCAGACAGTTTTTTTCCCAGGAACCACTCCTTTGTGGAACTGATTTCCACATAGATGCTACCCAAAATGCTGCAATCATAACCTCTCCAAGTTAAAGGTCAATCGTTACCTATCTTCCATAGCTACATAATCTTACTTCCACATTCATATCACCCATATCTTTTAGAAACCCTCTCCTTTGAGTGGTTCTTGAGCCTTGTATTAGTAAAAAGAAAAAAAAATGTAATACAACTTGCACATTATTCAAATATATGTTTAAAATTTATTGTGATGTATGAATAGTATAATACAGTATTTTCTTTCTTTTAGTTTTTAATTTAATACATAAAAAATTGGGTGATTGGATTAGTTCTTGCCAATCAGGAGGCAAAAATGAGAACAGTACAAAATGGAAGAATTGTAAGAATAATTATGCATGTCACTTTGATATTGTGGATTTCCAAATATAATCCTGATTATTAAGACAGACATTTTTTGGCCCTGATTTTTTTCATGATGTATTAACCAGAATATTCACCAATTGTGATGAACAGATATCCCCCCAGAGAGGCCCCATACCTTGAGCACCTATTGGGACTTAAACTCAGCCCAGACCTCAAGTGAAACTCATACATATGATCCATTACAAAGGATGCTGGAAAAATGGTTAGTTCCCTGTACAGCTCCAGCAAGTACTTGATGCTGCCTGCTATCCTCTATCTTTACAAGAGCCAGATCAGGTCAAAAATGAAGTACTGCTGCCATATAGAGGCAGGACTTGCCCAGTCTTCACTTTTTACTCTCAATAAAGTCCAAAAGCATCTCTGCATCTTTATGGGTGATGAATTATTTTCTACCCTGCAATCCCTTTCTTACAAACAAGACGTTGCAAGCTTTATACATTTCCATTGCTATTTCCATGGAAAGTGTTCAGATGAACAACACTCCTTAGTTCCACCAGTCCTAACGTTCATGGCTAAAATCCACCATGCCATGCACATTGTAGCAAACCACCATCATTTCCTTCTGTTCCCTTGGTGAGATATAAGTCCCATTCAAGCATCTTCTGCCTGTGGACCACTGCTGTGTGGAACCAGATCCTAAGAGTTTGCTTCCCCAATCACTACAATCTTAACCTGTTCAAGTCTAGAGTTAACAGTTATTTTTCACACATACCCACATAAGCTGTGCTTCTTATTTCCATAACCCTCTACTTTGAGTTGCCCTTGGCCCTTGTACAGTATGAACATCACTAAAAAAAAATTCACACAAGAAGTGAACTAAATTTCATCAATTTGATTAAGTTTTGAATGAATTGTTTTAATCAATGAATAATGTCTTTAGCTAAAGGCCACAGTTTTAGTAATCCTATTATTTGCTTACTAATATTATTGTTGCAATCGATATTTCTGTGTTATTGTTACATAACAGTTTATTGATTTTTAAACATATTATTCTTAACTTATCTCTCTTTGATATTTTTCCTTAAAGGTTACAGTGTGTTTATTAACAAAAAATTCAAAGGAAATTTAACTTAAAATTTACAATTGATACTGTATTACATTTAACCTGT